AGATGTCTTATTTCCCCCAAAGACAAATAACCTAAAATTGAAGGACACTTTTTTCCTTGAGTCTCAGGAGGATATGACCTGTGATGTTTCATTAACCTCTTTTGCATTTTTTATTTATGTAATTCCCCCTATATTTCTTCCATATCGTCCAACCCTAGGGGATGAGGCGTGCCTTCCCTCTCTCTACGTCATCCAACATTCACAACATGCCCACGTAGCACGTCTCGATAGGTAGCTCAACTCGTCAGAACACCGCACCTCCGTGCCGCTCCTTCAATTAGTCTATGTCCTCTTGTGTTCTCTAGCTACTTACTGTGCAGCTGCCCTGTTCCCCTCTCACACTGTGAGTCTCGGGCGCAGTAATACACAGCGGTATCCTCCGCTCTGAGATCATTCAGCGTGAGAGATGACCTGCTGTTGGAGCTGTCTCTGTTCAGGTTCAGGCGACCCTTCACACTGTTTGCATAGCTTGAGCTACCATCATATCCCAGCCATTCCAAGCCCTTTCCAGGAGCCTGACGCACCCAGTGAATCCAGTAGCTCGAAAACGTGTAGCCTGAACCGTGACACGTGATGCTTAGAGACTGGCCTGGAGTCTTTACCTCTGAGTATGTGGATGGGGTCAAGGAGATGGTGAGAGACCCTGTGAAACAAGAGATGTGACCAAAGACATATATACTTTACAAGAGATGTGACCAAAGACATACATACTTTACAAGAGATGTGACCAAAGACATACATACTTTACAAGAGATGTGACCAAAGACATACATACTTTACAAGAGATATGACCAAAGACATACATACTTTACTAAACCATCTTCTTGTTCTTGTAACAACACAAATTGCAGAACAAACATCATCTTACCTTTCAGTAAGTGTACAAAAATCCACACCCCAAGAAACACGTCCATTATTGAGAACGTCTTTACTGGATGATACAGCATCCACACAGTGACACCTCCCCTTTAATAGTGGACAGCTTTGCATATGATTTCCATAATGTCATTGACAGTGGCTCTTTTTAGTTCAGCTATGGATGAATGCATCTGTCCACCACACGTTACCTGCTGCAGGAATGTTCCTCCTCTATGGCCATTCCCACCTCCAGGTGCCTTAAACGATCACTCACACTTGCAGTTTTCATACTCAGTTTGGTGTGTTTGTTGTTTTGTCATCTGCCTTCTGCCCCAGCTGCATCTGTTGGTTACCCAAATGGTTTTGACGTACTTCTGTCTATTCTGGGTTTGACTTGTACATTGTATTATGTTAGACTGAATGAGCATCTTCTGCTTGCTGTACTGACCAAATCCTGTCCTGCTTAGTTGCCCTGCAGAGTCAGTGGGTGAACTGGGAGAATCTGGAGAATTCCTGGTGGGTTCCTGATTTACCTCCTGCTCGACAAAATTCACTGCCAACCCTGCCCCCCTACCCCCACCCTTGCCCTGTTTGTGGTTGATTCCTCTGGGGCAGAAAGAAAAGCAAGAAAAACATTTGTCACATCTTGTTTATCATTGATTAGTAAAATAAAAACAAATTGAGATGATGAATTCACTTGAAACTGAGCTCTTCCATTTTATATTTTAAATAGTGCAATTTCTAAATGGTTGAATAAACCATTGGGCAAGATGTTGTAGCCTAAACTAATATTCTCATTTTTACCAGTTTGTAGTTTCTCGGAGCATAAGGCGCTTCCATTTAACCATAATTTGGTGATTTAAAGATAAAACTCACAAGCTATTTTGAATCATACGCAGTATCAGCACATGATACAGATACAGTTACATTATAAATGTATTATTGTAACCAGTATTTGTGAGATTGTCTGAACATCACAGTAGTTTTTATAAAACGTACAGTGAGAAATGCATGAAAACTCTGGGGAATTTGAATATGAAAACAACTAAAGCACAAACACAGATGGTCGCAAACGGAGTGATGGTCAGATGGTCTTATGTCCTGAATGTTATTATGTTGCATCTCTAGGTATATATCTTTTTAATAGCAATCCTGCAAGCTAAATATGTTGTTTCCTCTCTGTAAGACATTCAAATATACATATTTAATGCATTAAAATGTATTTTATAATGTATGTGGTTTATGTTATTGTGAACAGTTTATGAATGCAATGTAGTTTGCTTCATTCATTGCAAATGGATGCATCCTAGAATGTACCATGTTGATTAACTGTCTGCTTTTACTTTGAGACTAGGGACATCTTTTGGTTTCTAGTGGAACTGCATTTATCAATTTCACTGTTTAGATGTGCATACAAAAACAAGTGTCCCAGAGCTATCGGGGTTAAGGGCCTTGCTCAAGGGCCCAACAATGACACCTAGTGATGGCCAAATGAAGCTTCATAAATTCATTGCTGTATTTTTTTGATGCCACTAGATGGTGCTCTCTGTTCAAAAATGGGCTCAAAGCATGCTTCAAAGTAAACCAAGAGCGCCACCTAGTGTGGTTGAAAAATACAGTAAATTGTCCATGAAGCTTCGTTTGGTGATTACTGGATGTGAACTGGTCATTTTCCAATCACAGGCAAAAGGTCCTAAGCTGCAGAGATGTGCAGACCCCATATTACCTATGATACCACTTTGTACATCCAGAAACAAGCAACATCATTGTCATTGTTCCTCATTCAACAGTCAAAATTATAAGGCGGGTATGTCATTGTTTACTCATTTTTAGCACACTGTCACATTTGACTTGATACAGATGACAGAAAGTTGTAGTTTTAAATGCTACACATCCCCTAAAAGCTGTGTCTTCAGGTTATAACAGAGTATAGGTACATGCCTTGCTTCACCTCCCCCATTTTGCCTGGGGGGTTGCATGCATGTTCAGTCAGCATGCAGCCCCCTGCAGCTTGGGGTTAAGGGCCCACAGACATGTTGCTCCTCTGCAGAGACCAAAGGCTCAAGCCAGCAATGTACACAGAGGCTTCGCCTTTCGTTTGGAACCTTCCTGAGCAAAAGAGGCTATTTGGCCACAGCCCTGGTGCTGAGGCCCACCCACAACAACCCATGGCTGGAGGCAAACGATGACATCAGCCATTGCCATTACCCCAGCACCACACCCCCCTTTTAAAGGGCTCCACTGACCTGACATCAGTGGAGCTGCAACATGCTGCCTGCATCGCTGGCTGTAGCCTAGTACAGTCAGTCCTGCTACAACACGATTAATGTGTCATGCTTTAGTCTTGTAGCTTTGAGGCCTACAGAGTTCTACATATGAACGTGACATTTGATGGGTGGGTACAGCCTGAGGACAGAAAATGGCACATCTCAACCAAAAGGGGGCACTGTAAGAAAGCAAAATGCGTTTTGGTTATTAACTCGACGTGTAAGATATTCAAAATTTGTATGTCATCCTCTTCTGTGAATTGAGTTGCTTCTAATGGTGTATAACAGGGGTGACCCATCTTATCCGCAAAGGGCCGGTGTCTATGCAGGTTTTCGCAACAACTCCCTAATTAGGTCTCGAATTAGAGGACTGATTGGCTGAAGAGTCCTCACACCTGGGTTTGAACAGCTGACCTAAAGGTTACCCCAAAAACCTGCATACACACCGGCCCTTTGCGGATACGATTGGCCACCCTTGGTGTATAACATATCTAAATGCACTTCAGATTTTCCCTTAATTACACAAAATATTGTTAATTTGTTTTTGCAGCCTATACATTGGTGCTTTGAGGCAAATAAAATTTGTATTACATGGTTCTTTGGATCCTCTTTATGA